ATTCGCGGCCTTCATTGAAACTCTATGGGGAGTAGCCGGAAATTTCCGCGAATCCCGCGATCGCCGCGAATAATTTACAGCCCTACTCATGACCGTATCAGGGATGCGGAGGACCTCGTCGGAATATGAACGACATATCTACCTATGCAGCCCGACACGTAACATTCCTTCAGATTTCGATCACAGGAGCGAATTTGAGAGCTTCTCCCAATAATCTCAGCGACTCAATGAAGGTAAGCATTTCGGCGCGTCTCGGTAAAACCTCAGGGAGGACCGCTGGAAAATTAGTCGGAAATCGATATGCGGGAGATAAGACCAATATTCTTAGAACTCGTTCTCCGTCAGGAATCTATGGCACGCAGTCAATGGCTCGGACCCGCTATTCTTAGCATCATCGAGGAAAGTCAACAGAAGCTTCCATCCTTTCTTTCGCTAATGATTCCCGAACGGAGCGGATCGATTCGCAGCGATCCGTTGTCCTAGAGGGAGACGGTGAGCTGGAACCTTCTCAAGATCCACTGCGCATTGCTTCGATAATCCTTGTGGGATTGACGCTTGACGCTCGAGTCCGACCGACGAAGAGAATCAGCCTGTGATGAAGGATGTCCACGGCTTCAGGGGTCTCACGAGCTCATCCGGATGCAAGTCGCAAGCTACCAGGTTTCAATCACCCAAGCTCTCCGAGTGCCGTCTTTGGAGCGTGCCCGCGTGCGGGACATGATGTGAATGTGCGGCCTAAGCCGTGTTGCGAGGTGAGGAGGAGATGCTCAGTCGGATCTCGCGCTTCGGGATGAGAGTCCTGAGAATCGGGGAACGGGCCTGGGGTTTTTAGCGTGCAAGGACCTCTTCGGTGATTCCCCCCTTGCCGTGGGGAATCATGGAACCGGATATGACGAATATAAGGTCTGACAGAGTCTCGTTCCTGCTCGACGGGGCGTTTGTATTCTCGATGACTTCGGACGGACTCTCGTCTGTCCGAGGACAGATGAGGGACAAGCCTTTCCGTATATCATTCGGCTCCACCGGTATGCTCCGGATGCGGTCGAACGGACTCGCAATGTCAATACCGCTGCGAAGAAGCGTGTCTACAGTAACCAATCGGGAGCCAATTCCCGTGGTCGTGATTCGAAGGCAACAGATCCTATCTTGCGTGTCGGATGGGCTACCTCTCGGGCTGGTGAGCGGCGTCTGATTCCGAGACCGAGTTCGATATATTCCCTGATTTTTTTTTAATACTCAGAAGATCCGAAGCCGGAGCTTCACGTCTGAGATTTCCCCTTGAGGTGGCTTTTAACCTCTGCGTCGCGACTGTCTCGGGCAGCCATTAGGTTCACGATCTATTCCTCATCTGATGTGGGGATTTTCGAATGACGAAAATCGCATGGAATATTATCGTCATCCAGTGTAGCTGCTCACGTCCGGTGAGTCGAAAATGCCTCGTTTCGGAAACTTCGCTCGTCGCTCCTAGTGAACGCGATCAAAGGTCCTCCCACTATCGAGTTTCGAAGGGACTTGTACGATCTCAACTGTACCTAAGCTGATTAGCGAAGTTCGACAGCGCTGTTTATCGAGTCGAACTCATGCCCAAGGAGCGCTTTGCATTTCAATCGAGCGCAGGTCTTCTTTAGGTATGCCGGAGAGACAAGTCGTCGATGTTTCCCAAGCTTCCGATCGGGTTTCTCGGAAGGGCTGAATTTCATCAATGGGTCTGACAATGGGCCGGTGTAGCTGGCCAAAGCACGCGACGTGTCGGTCTGTGATCCACTTGACTTCGTCTCTCACAGGAGTCACGTTCGAATGTAATGGACTCAGCATCGGCTGGCATAGGTCTCTCGACGCAAACATCCGATCTCAGCATGATCCTCATCCAGCACCGAGAGCCTCGTGGTCTTAGAGCGTAGACGCGAAAGAAAGGGAACGATTGCGAATTGCTGAGAATAATCCACAGAAAACTTCGATGGACCCCGTTAAAGCCGAATGCTTCTCTCCCAATGTCTCAGATGATTTCGTGGGTACGATGCACAAAATATCCGATTCAGCGACTTCTGAGCCGAAAAGAGAAACCGGGACAGGCCTATCATCCCAATCAGTAACTCCAAATCCTTGTTGGGATGAATGAAGAATATTAACGTCTTGACCTCGAATAGATTCCGGGACTGATGCCGTAATGGTCATTCGTAATGACCAGGTGCCTGAATGAGATAAGTCGGATGGTCCATGCGCGAACCATCGACGTCGGGTCCCATGTGGGGTCAGCACCGAGTGACCCGTCGAGAGTCGACTTCTCAAAAGTCAGGGTGCGCTCGGAGGTGTCGCGTTCCGCGGGAGAAACTCGATGGAAATTCGCTGTGAAGCATTGGACCCTCTAGTCGGGTCGAGCCTCGAATAATGGTTGTTTGTGTCACCATATGTCAGGGAGTCCGGGTCGGAAAAAAAAGGACGGAGGAAAAGACGCGGGGCCTGTGCTAGGAAGAATTTATTTGTGTTTGCCGAACTAGATATTGGATCGTCGTATCACTGGAGCGCCACCTTCGCGAATCTCAGACGCTGTGTCCATGACGAGATATTCAAGCGTGGTGCAAAGAAAGATCGATGTTTGCAACACGGCATTTCCGGCAAGGGAGATATCGCGAGATTACTCCTCTGAACCGATCCGGAAACATCGGGAAATCGTGTGATAAAAGTTATTTGTTTAGCGATTGAATATTGCGGATTCGTGCATTCGCCCAGGAACATGACACGCATCTGGAATTTCCCCTGGACCAACTTGCGATTCCGAATGGAGGCCTTCGGATATCCACGGGTTCTGATGGGGGCGCCATCCGGAAGGAAAATATGCTTGATCGAGAGAACGAAAGACATGGAGGGAAGCAGAAACCCTGGAAGCGAAGGTCTACCGGTGGTTCGCGGTACGCCAATCCGAGACCTGTCTCTTCTCCGTCATATAGCTCCGGGGGAGAGGGGGGATTCGAATGCGAAAACAGAAGAGAGTTTTTTGAATGAACTGGCAAGAGGCAGGGACAAGAGGTGAATAAATTCAAGAGACGGTCCAGATAAATCCCGAGAGACAATCAGTCGAGCTCGAGCTGCGATTGTGGATCGGATTGGCTTTTCAGTCACGTTTAGGCATGATTGTCGATGACAAAGTGACGAGTTGGCTGCGACAGCATTCGTAGTGAGTCACAATGG